TACTACTATTACTACGACTGCTGCTGCTGCTGTTATTTCTCCCTCCCTCCTCCCTCCATTTCTCGCCTTATTTCTTCCTCTTCTCTCTCTCTCTCTCTCTCTCTCTCTCTCTCTCTCTCTCTCTCTCTCTCTCTCTCTCTCTCTCTCTCTCTCTCTCTCTCTCTCTCTCTCTCTCTCATCCTCCCTCCGAGTATTTCTCCTTCCCTTTCTCCCTCTCTCTACTTTTTTCCCCACATTTCTACTCATCTTTCTCCCTCCTCTTCCTTTCTTCTTCCTTCCTCTCTCCACCTCCTTTTCCTCCCACTCTCCTCTTCTTTCACATTCTCTCCTCTTCTTTCTCCCTCTCACCTCCTCCTCCTCCACCCTCTCTCCTCCCACCCCTTCTTCCCTCTCTCCTCCGTTCTCTTCCTTTTCCCTCTTTCTTCCAACCATTCGACCCACCAAGTATCACTCCCCCCCCACCCCCCTCAAGAGGCCTGCTGCGCCGCCTGCTTATGACAAATGCTACATCAGCGACACCAGAAGCAATACTCCATCGGGAATATTGACGGAAGGGGGAGGAGGAGGTCGTGGAGGAGGTAGGAGGAAGACGGAGGAGGAATGGGAGAAGAAGGAGAGGGCGAGGAGAAGAAGAGGAGAGGGGGAGGAAGGGAAGGGAAGAGGAAAAGAGGGGGGGAGGAGGAGGGAGGAGGAGGAAGGAGGAGGGAGGAGAGAAGAAGAAAGAAGAAGAAGAAGAAGAAGAAGAAGAAGAAGAAGAAGAAGAAGAGAAGAAGAAGAAGAAGAAGAAGAAGAAGAAGGAGAGGAGAGGGGGAGGAGAGGAGGGGGGAGGAGGAGAAGAGGAGAGGAAGAGGAGGAGGAGGAGGAGGAGGAGGAGGAAGAAGAAGAGGAAGGAGAGAAAGAGGAGAGGGACAGGAGGAGGGGTCGAGAAAAAGAAGAAAAAGAAAATAAAAGGAGGAGGAAAAGGAAGGAAGAAGAAGGAAAAAAAAATAATAATAAGCAGAAGGAAATGAGGAGGAGGAGAACACGAAGGACGGCGTGGAGGGGAAGGAAGGAAGGAAAGGAGGCGAAGGCGTTGCCGAGGAGCGGAAGGCAGCGCTGATCAATATGCAGATCCTTCTCTCCATTGACGGTGTTTCTTTGACTTGAAGACTCCTGCGCTAGCCCCTCCCTCCCCTCCCTCCTCCTCCCTCCCCCTTTCTTCCTCTCTCCTACCTCCTCCTTCTTCTCCCTCCTACCCCCTACCCCTTCTTCCTCCCTCCTACCCCCTCCCCTTCTTCCTCCCTCCTACCCCCCTCCCCTTCTTCCCTCCCTCCCCCTCCCCCTCCCTCCCCCCTTCTTCCTCCCCCTCCTCCCTCCTCCCCCCCGGCTAGCATCATGGGGAGTTTGACCAAAATTCCTTTCATTTTTTCCCCCCACCTTTTCTTTCTTTCGTCATTCCTTCAGGGTTTGTTTTTTTTCTTCTTTTCTTTTTTTCTCTCTCTCATCTCATCTCTCTTCTTTCTTCCTCTTCTTTCCATTATCCTTCTTTCTTTTATTTCCTTCTTTCTTTCTTTCTCCTTTCTTTATTCTCATTTCATTCCCCTCTTTTTTTCTTTCTTTCCATCCTTCTTTCTTCCCTCCATTCCCTCTCCCTCCACCTCTTCCATCTCCATCTCCTCCCTCTTCCTCCCCCCACCAACACCACCTCTTCCACCTCCTATTATCCTCCCTGATCTCTCTCTCTCTCTCTCTCTCTCTCCCTCTCCCTCTTCTCTCTCCTCTCTCTCTCTCTCTCTCTCTCTCTCTCTCTCTCTCTCCTCTCTCTCTCTCTCTCTCCTCTCTCTCTCTCTCTCTCTCTCTCTCTCTCTCTCTCCCCCCCTCTCTCTCTCCTCTCTTCTCTCTCTCTCTCTCCCCCTCTCTCTCTCTCTCCCCTCTCTCTCTCTCCCCCTCCTCTCTCTCTCCCCCTCTCTCTCTCCCCCTCTCTCTCTCTCCCCTCTCTCTCTCCCCCTCTCTCTCTCCCTCTCTCTCTCTCCCCTCTCTCTCTCTCCCCCTCTCTCCTTCCCTCCTCTCCTCCTTCCCTCCCCTCTCTCTCCCTCCCTCTCTCTCTCCCTCCTCTCTCTCTCCCTCCTCGCTCCCGCTCGCTCCCTCGCTCCCTCGCTCCCTTCCTCCACCCCCTCCCTCCCCCTCCCTCCTCTCCCTCTCCCTTCCCCCCCCCTCCCCCTCCCCGTCGCCCACCGCAGGACGTGACCCTCTCAACGCCAACTCGGCAGCATAAGGAACGAACGCGATCTCCCCTCAGCGGCCGTGGGAGGGGGGGAGGGGGAGGGGGAGGGGGTCGTGTGGTGGTGGTGGTGGGGGGGGGGGTCGTGTCCTTTGACTTGGTTCTCCTCTTCGCTTTCTTCTTCGGTTCGTGGTTCTTGGCTTCCGTTCTTTCTTGTCTTCTTCTTGGTTCCCACTCCCCACTCGTTCTCCCACTCTCCATCTCCCCTCTTCCTATTTCCCTCTCTCTCTCTTTCTGCTTTTGCCTTCCTCTCCCTCTCTCTCTCTCTCCTACGTTCCCTTCCTTTACCCTTTCCCTCCCTGTTTCCCCTTCCCCTCCCTTTCCTCCCTTCCCTTCTC